GGCTACTAAGATGTTCTGAGTGGTTGTTAGGGCATTGCTAGAGTGCTGTAAGGTATTGTAAAGTATTCTTCATGGTTTCTAGGGTGTTGCTATGCAGTAGCTCAGGTTTTCTGGGTGGTTGGTAGGGTGTTACTTGGCAGTTTCTAGGGTATTCTGGATGGTTGTTAGGCTAGGGTGTTGTTATGCAGTCTGGTTTCCGTGTCGTACCGGTGACTGACAGCGATCCGGTGCTGTTCGCTCGGCCTCTGTCATTCTCTGCGAAACACGTGTATTTGCCTTCGTCTGATTTGGTGACGTTCAGAAGCTCTAAACTCCCATCTGGCCAAATGAAGATCCTGCAATCATGAAAGACAGACTGAATATGAACGGTTCTGGAGAGAGCAAGGATCCGTGAGATGACCTCTGCGTGACCTCTGACCTGCTGGAGTTGTGCAGGAGCTCGGTTCCTTTGCTCCAGGAGATGCTCGGCCGCGGCGCCGCTCGGGGTTTGCAGTCAATCACCACGCGCCCGTTTTTGGCCCCCAGAAGTTCGGGTTTCACTGGGTTCCACTCAAATGAAGGAGCGCCGGCTGGGAAAACAACACATTCAGTGGAAGAACTAGCAGTGTTCCTCAAGATATTCAACTCTGTGAGTCCTAAAGCTCAGAACCACGTATTACAGCAAATATTAATACTGAACCATGAATACTCACCGAACACCCTGAGCTCGGCGTTGGCATATATCGTGCCGTGACGGTTCTCAGCGATGCACTGATACATCCCTGAATCATCAAACGTCAGGTCTGTGAAACGCAACTCGTGGTTCTTGGCGTACTGATGGAAGAGAAGCAAGAAGAGAACAGATTCATCCGTCAGAATTCAAGACCGCTTTCATCAGATATTATCAACATTGTCATATTTCTACTGATTATTATGAGCCTCTGAAATCTATCAATGAATAAAAACATAACATTATTCATATAAATAAATAAATACATGTGTGTGCGTGTGTATTTACATATAATTCATACAAGCTAAAATAATACATATAAATGTAAAATATGCAAATAAATTATTTAATGCAAATACATATAGACAATGTATTTGTTTAATTAATTTCATTAGATAAAATAAATTCAAATAAAATCATAATGATAAAAAATTACAAAATAACATAATAACACAAATAAAACAAATTGGCATACAAGCAAAAAGAATAATACAGTACAAATACATTTTAATTCTAATGAATACAAAAACAAACAAATTAATTAATGCATTCTATTATTTATTAATTTGATAAACCAAAATAAAACCATAATTATATTAAAAAAATCATTAAAATATATGAATAGTTAATATAAAGTTGATTTTGACTGAAGACACTGTAAAACACTAACATCTGTCTGGCATTATTATTCTGTTAGAAGTCGTGTTTGATTTGCATTCTGCGGCTCTTCCTGTGATATACGCTGTAAACACACTTCAGGTGTTTGGATCAGCACCATCTGGTGTCGTGAGTGTTATGTAACCAGAAGCATGATGGGAAGGCCTCGCTCCAGACGGGAACACAGCCAGCAGTTCGGCCGACTCACAACGCGCTCATTCATTACGCTGATCTGCTGCATCTATTTACATGCACTGCGTGAGTGGAGGAGTATGCTAATGCATTTTACTGACTGGGACAATGTTTGCTATTTTTATTGACATCACAATAGGGAGACTGTGGCGTTCCTGTAGCTCAAAGAGTACTGCATGATGCTAGCAACACCAAAGGAATGGGTGTGAATGCATGAACCGTTTAAATGTATAAAACTCTAAATGTACTCTGAATAATAGCATCTGCCGAATGCAGACTTATTTTTTCAACTGATCTGATTTAAATGCTTGAATTTGTGTGAAAATGAATGATTATAACTCAGACGTCAGCGATACCATTCGTCCGTCCTTCAGGAAGTGCACATGGGGTTTGGGTTTCCCGCTGGCCAGACAGGACATGATGTAATCGCCTCCGATGTCTGTCTCCGAGCTGCTGATCTTCTCCACCCATTCAGGAGCTCCTAGACAGAGACAAACACACGCGTAAACCAGTGTTGTTTTAGTGTCATTTAGATACTATTACAGTATTTATTAATATTTTGAACTTTTTTTTTAGCATGTTTTATGTTATATTTTCTCAGTTTTAGTTTTAGTTATTTTTGTACATCAAATTAATCTAAATGAAAATGAAAAACACTGCCTTGGCAACTAGCTTAAAAATAAGTTTAAGTTTTTTATACTTTTATTTTATTTCAGTTAATGTTTATTTAATTTCAAGTAACCATTTTTAATGATTTTACTTATAGTTAACTATAATAAACCCTGATGTAAACAAGCATTGCTTTACGGGACAATTCTTGCAAATCCTAATACATTAAGCATGTTGGTAACACTTTATTTTGATGGTCCCTTTTGAGCATTCTGTAGACAAGAAGTAACGTTGCACCTACATGTCAACTAACTCTCATTAGAGTATTAGTAGCCTGTCTGTTTCATATCTGCTAACTCTTTAATGAGATGGCAACAAACATTCTACTGACTATAAGTAACTTTGCAAGTACATTTCAAGTCATTCTAACCCTAACCCTACCAGTCTACTAATACTCTGCTAACACTCTAATAAGAGTTAGTAGACATAGAGGTGCAACTGAATGTGTTAAAGTGACTATCAAAATAAGTATTTTTATTGCTATTTTAGATGTATTTGTGTGCACTCTATTTTCCAGTATAAACCTGTAGAAATATGGCATTGCTCTTCTCAGTGATGTCTCATTGCGGTGTGTTCATAAGGTCATGTGACTCTCACCCTCCACATACAGATGCACTTTGTGTCTGTCTTTGCCTTTGGAGTTGTCGGCCTCACACTCATATAAACCCTCGTCCTCGTACTGGATGTCGTAAAGATGAAGGAGACTTCCTGACATACTGATGTTGTGGCGATAGACCGGCAGATCACCATCCACCTTCCTCCATCGGATCTGAGGGATGGGGCTGAACACACACAATATAAAACATGGTGAGATCTGCCCGAAACCTCAACGTTCACCACATTGTGTTCATCAGCTATAGATGATTTAAAAAATACATGTAAGAGACAACCAATCAGAAACTGAGTATGCAAATATGACATTGATGTCACTGATGTCCCTAGCCGATTACTTACATTATAACATACTGTATAACAAACATTATTTTCTAAAATGTTGTATTATCTAATTAGATCTGCGCTAATTTGCATAGATTTACAGAAAAACAACTCTGAACATTGGATAAAGCCTTGTTCAAAATTCTGGTTTGATTTCGTTGACATATTAGAGTTTTTGAATTTCACTGATTTTGGATTTCTCTTTTTATAACTCAATAAATAAGAAAATACTGGTAACAGACAGAAAAAAAAAAAAAAAAATTCTCCATGCTTTTATGAAGTATTTTATAAATGAGTGTGAATGAAATATAAACAGACCCCCTCAGTAAAAACCATAAGTTTTGGTGTGTAAGTGCTGCTGAAGTGGAGGAAAAAACTCTTTAAACATATGGACTGAGATTGGAATCTACAGATGCAAATAGACAATGTGTTATAAAATAAACACTTTAATGTGTATTTTGGATGTTTTCTTTCCATTAATCTGAAGACGACATGTTATAGAAGCAAAATACACCAAAATTGACCAGTGCATGAAAAACATTGTTTCTGATTTATTCATGAGTTCATTGTACTATGAGAAATGTCAGACCTTAAACTTCCTCTTCAATCAACTCAAGACAGACATCCAATTGTAATAGCATATGCAAAATGTTACATTGATGTCCCTGATCTTATTTTGAACACTGAACAACTTAATTTAAGTCAATAAGAGATTTTCTTTGTACTTTTAATAAATGTAATCATAATTCAGTATGAAAATAAATGCTAGGGAAAAAAAGCCTGATGGTGATTCAGCATGCAAATATCTTTGTACTTTAAGAAATATAATCATAAGAATTCAGTATGAAAATACATGCAAGAAAGACATCGCATAGTAATTCAGATATTATGAAAATATTACAGTGATGGCACTGATGCTTTACTAAATATTGAATATTGTATCAGTCTCAGTTAATAGAAGATTTTCTCCATTTGTACTTTAAAAATGTAAGTTTTAAAAGAGTTTATATAGAGCACAGGCAGACCGCACATACAGCATAAAGCTGAAATGATCTACAAAATGCAGTTTGAGTGAAATCTGGATGTTAATCGATTCAAACTGAAATATTTGCAGAATATTGTGCTGAATAATGAAGCGTTTGAGGAAAATGACTGAAGTGCTGCATTGCAAACACTGAGAAGTCATCTGTGTGGCGTTTTTCTTACTTTCCCAGCGCGAAGCACTCCAGCGTGACGTTCTGCCCCAGCAGCGTGTACGTGTCTGGAGATTTGACTTTGATATCAGCGGGATATTTCCTCAGAGAACCTGACAGAGAGCACATATGAGATGGCAGTTAATGACTGAAGACCTCATGAATTCGTTCTTTCTTCCAGCAGAACGAGCGAGTCTCTCCTGTTTGTTTATCAGCTCTGAAGCACTTCGACTCAACACACTCATGATGCTGTGACAGTCACAAACAACTATAATATTACACACACACACAC